CAAGCCCGCTCGACGTGCATCGAAGTTCTCCACGACCTGAAGGCGGCAGGATTCGTGATAAATTCTAAGAAATCCCACCTGCATCCCGCACACCACTTGCGTTTTCTGGGGATGGAGCTTGACACGGATCGAGGGATGTTCCTCGTCGGAAAAGATCGGCGCGAACAACTACTGCAGGAGCTCCACCTACTTATACAAAAAGGGCAATCGGGTCGCCACGTGCCGATTCGCAAGATAGCCCGGATTGTCTGAATGTTATCTTATGCTCTAGCCTGTATTGGGGTGCTCTATAGCGAGTACAACCCTTCTAGGGTTTGCTATTTGTATCCTCATTCCTGCTAGTTCAATCCTCTTCTTTCTTCTAAACTTTCACATGCTATCAGAGCAGGTCGATCCCCTTAGATCGATCCTGTGGGTGGGTTACCACCTCCTCGCTTCCGCTGCAACTACCTTTCACTACTCGCTGAGCCGCACGCCCCCTGGCGTGCGGCACTTTTTCTTCCCGCCGTGCGCCCCAAGGCGCGCGGCGGTTTTCTGCCCGCCGTGCGCCCCGAGGCGCGCGGCGGTTTTCTGCCCGCCGTGCGCCCCGAGGCGCGCGGCGGTTCTCTGCCCGCTGTGCGCCCCGAGGCGCGCGGCGGGCTTCTGCCCCGTCGTTCGCCGCGTCGCCCTCTGGAGGCGCCGCGACGGGTGACGGGGACCCGTCGCGGCGCACCGAGGGCACGCGCCCCGGCCCCGGCCCCGCCTGCGGCCCCGGCCCCGACGCCCCCCGGCCCCATCGCCCCGCCTGCGGCCCCTTTTCCCGTCGCCTGTCGAGGCGACCCTCGGGGGCCGCTGGGGGAGGGGGGCGAGCGCCGCCCCTTCTGCTGCCTGTCTTGGCGCCCTGGGGAGCCGCGCGCCGGTTCCCCCCCCCCCCCCTCCCCCGTAACCTCCCTACCCGCCGTCCCACCCTGCCTGTTTTAGGGTTTGGGGGTGACAAGTAGGGGGTGGCGAGTATGGGGGTGGCACTTATTCATTCCTCCCTTTGCTCCTCCTCCTCCTTCGTCTCCCACTGCTGCAGCTGTCGCTGAGGGGGGTGGATGTGTGGGAGACTGGGGTTTCGGGTTTAAGGGGGGTGCGTGGGAGTGGAGCTAGCGGTGTAGCAGCGGGTGTGTGCCAGGGGGAGTGGGATAGTTTGGGGAAGCTGAATGGAGGTTGCCGTCCTGTCGCCAACAACACCTGTATTCCGGGGACTTCGTCCGGTAGCCCAGTCGTAGCCAGCTGTGCCAGCCGCCCGTGGGTCCGTTGCTCGTCTGCCGCTACTTTAGCCGCGGGGCCTGTTACTCCTGTATTCCGGGGACTTCGTCCGGTAGCCGCTGTGCCAGTCTGCCTCCTGTTGCCCGTGTGTCTGCAGCTTCAGCCGTCGCCTCCTATCTCCTCTCCTCTCACTCTCTCTCCTCCTCCTCGCTTGCCCGTTGTGACTACCACTAGCTTTGCTCATAATTGTACCCTTTAAACTATTCATTCTTGAACTTGTGCTCAGAATGTGTGGTGACATTGTGATCCACCCTGAGCTTGTACTGCTTTGCCTGCTCTGCTGATTACACCCCACTTTGGCTATGGGGGTGTGTCAGAATGTTATCTTATGCTCTAGCCTGTAGTGGGGTGCTCTATAGCGAGTACAACCCTTCTAGGGTTTGCTATTTGTATCCTCATTCTTGCTAGTTCAATCCTCTTCTTTCTTCTAAACTTTCACACGGATCACAGGATTTCTCAGCTCCATGTCGCTCGCGCTGGGCACGACGGCGCGTGCCTTCAACCATGAGCTGCTGCACTTGATCGACTCCGCGTGGTCATGGAACTCAAAGGTTCTATTGTCGCCAGGAGCGACAGAGGAGCTGCTGTTTTGGACAATGCACTTCGATCGTTTCAATGGCGCCCCATTCCACCAAAGTCAGCGTTTTGATGCCGTGATACACGTTGACGCAAGCGCACACAGCTGGGGTGCCACCTTGGCCAAGTTCCCAAGTACATCATGCGAAGCAAGCGAGTGCATGCCAGGAGGGCTTATCACCACATCCAGTACGCGGCGAGAGCTCGAAGGAGTGCTCTGGGCACTGCGGACGTTCGCAACTCGGATCGTGGGTGCTCACGTCCTCGTCCGGGTCGACAACCAGGCAGTCATGTTTATCTTGCGCAAGGGGGGATCCCGTCAGGCGGATCTTACGTTGACATGCCAAGCGATCATCCAGTTCTGCCTCGGCAACACAACACGCCTCGCGATCGAATGGATTCCAAGAGAGCTCAACGCCCATGCGGATGACCTATCCAAGATGCAAGACTTTGATGACTACTCCCTACACGCACCTTGGTTTCGCCTCTTGGAACGTCGCTGGGGGCCCCACACAATTGATCTCTTTGCTAACGTTTGAAACAATCACGTTCAACGCTTCTGCTCTAAGATACCGCACCCAGACGCATTCGCTGTTGACGCATTTTCCATCTCGTGGAAAGGCGAGCGATGCTTTGCCTTCCCGCCTCCACACTTAATTCCCGCTACACTCCGCCATGCGGAACTGACGCAGACCAAACTTACGCTCGTCACTCCCCAGTGGACCGGAGTGTCATGGTGGCCGCTTCTCCAACCGTCCACTCAATCGTGGGCTCCGGCAGTAGTAGAGCACCTCTCCCTTGCCCAAGGCAGTCAATGCCTTAGGGCAGGTTCACACACCGCTGCATTCTCTGGGCTTGGATTGCCTCATAGCCCAATCATTGCTTTGCGTTTAAACTATGCGGTCTAATCAAAATTTCTCGATGTGTCATGCCAGGACTTTTGACCAAACTACAGCAACAATTGATGCAAGTAATTAGCCACGTTCGTGCACCATCTACAATCGATACGTACCAACCTTATTGGCAAAGGTTTCGCACCTTCTGCACCAAAGTTAAGCTCGAGTTCCTGCCGGCAACCGACCTGACGCTAGCGCTGTATCTCATCCATGCGCTCAACAACAAAGCAACCCTCTCCGGGATCAACCTCACGTGTTCGGCAGTTGCCGTCGCCCACCGCATGACAGGAGAAACCTCCCCTACCACCGGCCCATTCACCCTGCAAGTGCGGGAGTTCGCCAAGAGACACGGTCCCCGGCCTACAAGGACCAAAGAGCCCATATCTCTCCATCAAGTGCACAACATGGCTCGTCCCTTCCTCGAATCATCAATTCCTGCGGAATACCAGAAAGTATTGATTCCTCTTCTCATGTTTTCGGCATTCTTGCGCTACTCCGACCTCGTCTTGCTCCAATGGAATAATGTACAGTTCGAGGAGAAGGCAATGTGGCTGCTCATCCCGCACTCCAAGACGGACCAGGAAGGGAAGGGTGTCTTGATCCCAGTGGCGGCAATTCCAGGCCCATACTGCCCGGTGAGGTGCACACGCAAATTCATACACCTCGCACGCCTCACAAAGGTGCCACATGGACCGCTGATAAGGGTTTTCCCAAAAAACTCGCCAGCCACACCTAACGACAAATCGCCATCCTACGTCACGATCAGAAACTGGTGCCTCGCGGCCGGCAGGCAAGCTGGACTGGATGTCGCGCACATCGGAACTCACTCATTCCGCAAAGGCGCAGCTACTGCGGCGGCAAGCCTCGGAGTTCCTGACCGGCTCTTCAAACGCATGGGCCGATGGCGCAGCGACAGCGCGAAGGAGATGTACGTTACCATCGCGCAGGATCAGCTCATCTCCCTATCCACGCAACTGCAGGATCCTTCGACGGCTCCCTCACCCGCTACGCATCAGCCGTCAATCGAACGGCACCGCCAGCCCCGACTGCACTTGCCTTAGAAGACCCATATGAAATGATAACGCTGCCTTTGCAAGTCAGCCTAAGTACACTTTCACAATATTATAATCTTTGAAAGTGTAATGAAATGTAACACTTTCTAAAATTTTGTATTGTGGAAAGGGGTACGTGGCCAACACAGCAAAGGTAGCGCCGAAGCGCTAGTCACCCTCTTTTGCCTACAAAAGAGGGACGTGGGGACAGTCGTCCCCACCCACGTTTTCATTTTCAAAATTGTAGTTCTCATTTCCCACCCGCCCACCCATTTGTGTATGCTGCTATGTAGACATATATAAGACGAGAACGATGTACTAGTACCCATATGAAATGATAACGCTGCCTTTGCAAGTCAGCCTAAGTACACTTTCACAATCAAGCTTTGGATTGATTTGACATTTGAGAGTTATCTTACAGTAGATTGCCCAATGTTGGCGAAGTCACTACTAGAGGAAGAAACATACGGTAAATGTCAGCATTTTGATTAAGGGGTTCTAGCTTCAGAGGGGGGCCCCATTACTCAATATCATCAGTCTACGAAAATTTCTCAGTACCGTTAGTGAAACTGGTCCTTTGTTTGAGTTAAACCAGAAATCCAGAAGTCTGACCCGTCTCAAATTGTACTTCTACCATTAATTTTTTCAGATGTGTTTTGAATCAGCTAGCTCCAATTCAGCTCCATTCCCTGTCTTTCATTTCACTCTTGCCACCCAGTACACCTGCAAATTCTTTTGCTTCTCGCTCTGCCCTCCCAGCCTTTTTTTATACATTGACTGCTGATAAATACTTAATAATTAACATTGCGACCACAACCAGCCAGACACAATAAATCAGCAGTTTGATCTATTAGAATGGACTAAGATACTAGCGGAAGCTTTAGTAGTCTTAGAACCTCCTCCTAAAGCCTAGGAATCCTAGGAGCCCACTTGGGCATGAATCATGCTAGAACCAAAGTGGTTTCCAAAAGTGAAATACCAACAAGAGAGAACCCTAACCTATAGGGTTTGGGAGGTGGTCCACTCTAAAGAGTGTACACCACAAGTTCTCCCAACCCAACCAATGTATTCTACACTACCATAGTGTAGATGTACCACTACATATGTTTATTGGAGCAACCCGAATTAACCTTAATTCCAACACCCCCCCTTGCTCCAATAAGCATTAAAGTTCACCCATAAATCAAAATACAACCCCTCCAGCGAATGAAGCCTTGGCCTTCGCAGCAATCACTCGCATGCCGATGCGCTCCAGGTTCTCATGCAGCTGCAAGCTTGGAAGAGCTTTGGTGAGCATGTCGGCATCCTGGAGGTGGGAGCGTACTGAGTGCACCGCGACCTCCTGCTGGCGCACCGCATCCCGTACAAAGTGCCATGCCACCTTAATGTGCTTGGTGCGCTGATGGAGAACGGGATTGTGGGCAAGGGAGACAGCTGCCTCATTATCACAGAGCAATGGAATAGCCCCCCCATCCCCCACATGCATCTCTGCCAACAGACTCCTCAACCAAATGGCCTCCTTGGCCCCCTCCGATAGAGCTTTGTACTCAGCTTCAGAAACGCTTGCTGCAACACTGTCTTGCTTTTTGCTATACCAGCTGATTGCTCCTCCTCCCAGCTTAAAGATGTAGGCAGAGCGACTCTTGCCATCAGTCTCACCACCCCAATCCGAGTCTGTGTACCCGACAACCTGCTCACCACCTTGGCGCTCATACCTGATGACACGATCAGCTGTGTCGACCAAGTACCTGAGTGCTCTCAGTGCAGCGCGCATGTGAATGCGTCTTGGTGCCACGCAGGACTGTGCAAGGGTGTTGACAGTGAAAGACATGTCAGGACGGGTGGTCACAGCAGCATACATCAAGCTGCCAATGAGACTCTGGTACACCTTGACATCAGCTGCAACACCTTCCTCAGTTGACCAAGTACCATTCCTGATCTTAGAGAGATCATTGGGTGACATTGGAGTATGCACCCTATGGGTCTCCTTCAGCAGATCACCAAACCTTCCCTGGAGACCACGGACATACTTCTCCTGACCAATCTCCAACCACCCATCCTTGACCGACCTGCGAACCTCCACACCAAGGTACATGGATACCTCACCTAGATCCTTCATCTGGTACCTCTGAGCAAGCACCCCTTGACCTGACCGATCAGCTCCAAGCGTGGAGACACAAGCAAGAGGTCATCCACATACACCAATACATACACTGGCTCTTCATCCACAAACCTGATGTACAGAGCCTCATCACATGCACTGCGGTCAAACCCTGCTGCAATCAAGGTGGTACCAATCTCCTCATTCCAAGCACGAGGCGCTTGCTTGAGCCCATAGAGAGCTTTGCGCAAGCGATGCACCCTACCTGTACCATCATCAAATCCCTCAGGTTGCCTCACATACACTTCCTCTTGAAGGAGTGCATTGAGGTAAGCATGATCAACATCCTCCTGTTGTACATGCCACCCTTTTACCGCGGCTTCTGCAAGAAGCACCCGACCTGAGGTCAGCTTGCCCACAGGGGCAAATACCTGATCATAGTCCTTCTCAGGCTCCTGAGTGTACCCCTTAGCAACAAGGCGAACCTTGTGCTGTACCACCTTATCCTCCTTGTCAGTTTTCCTGCGGAAAACGTACCGGACCCCAATGGCCTTCTTACCTGGAGGTAAGTCAACCGGCTCTGGATCCCATACACCCATAGTGCGCATTGCATTTACCTCCTTCTCAGCGCCTGCCTTCCACGCAGGGCCCTCAGGGCCACGCAGGGCCTCAGCGAGTGTGCGTGGGACATCACCTGTGCTCACACCTGCCAGTGCAACACCTTCCACCTCCCTGGCCAAACATAGCATGCCCTCAACCACACCAGCATCCCCCCCTACCTCCTCACCACCTGTACCAGACTGGATACCAAGCACCTGCAAACCCGTAACCGGTGGTGGGGAGGTAGTCGCTGGTGACGGAGGGGCACCCGTAGAGAGAGGGATAGAGCGCTGACCAGAGGAGGAGGAAGAGGAAGTAGCCTGTGTAGCGGATCTCCGCTGAATGACCGAGGGGCCACTGAGCTGCTGCAGAGGGGTGGGCTGCTGCTGCACCGACACACTCAGCGGTGCCGGTGGCAGTGGTGAAAGTGGCATCTCAACGTCGTCAGCCATTGCTGAAGGTGGCGAGAGTGGAAGAGGGAGGAGTTGGGAAATTGCAGCTGCATCCTGCAGAAGCTCCCCAAATTCCTTTGCCTTGTCCCAATCCTTCCACATCACATTCTCAAGGAAATCAACATCCCGAGCAATGCGAATGCGCATGATAGAAGGGTCCAGCATGCGCCAACCCTTGCTCTCCATGTCCACCCCAACACAGACACACATGACAGCCCGTGCATCAAGCTTGCCACCCTTCTCATGCCCATGCAACATGACACTCCCCATGCAACCCCAAATCCGAGCCATGCCCACATGCGGCTTCTGGCCGGACCACGCCTCCATTGGTGTGATGGAGGCAGGCAAAGCACTGTGGGTGACCCTGTTCTTAACCCACACGACCCACATCAATGCTTCACCCCACAAGCGAGCAGGGAGACCACTGTCGACCAACAATGTGCGAATCCCCTCTGCCATCGTCCTGTGCCACCTCTCCACAACCCCATTCTGTTGCGGTGTATCTGCGACGCTCAATTGAGTTTTAATGCCAAACTCCGCCTTCCATGCTTTTACAGCTTCCCCCAAGAACTCGCCACCCCTGTCCGAGCGAACAGCCTTCAGCTTCCGCCCACACTCCAACTCCACGTCCTTATGCCACTGGCGAAGGACTTTTGCAACTATGGCCGATTCCTTGTTGGGGAGGGGGAACGACCAAACTCGTCTGGTGAAGTCGTCAATGAGACTGAGGACATACACCGCTCCTCCCAGTGATGGTGTGCGCACCGGCCCCCACAAATCCATGTGGACCTCATCCAAAGGCCCAAGTGCCCGAGACGCCTCATGGGGAAACGGCTTCCGAGCCGACTTTCCCAATAAGCAGGGCTCACATGGGGAACAATCAGTGTTCCCCCCCCCAATCTCCAAGCCCAGTACACTGTTCCCCCGAGCCATCTGTTGCAATGTTGTGGGGGCGGTATGACCAAGGCGGCGATGGGCAAGGGTCAATGGGGAAAATGAGGAGGACGACTTAGCTGCAAGAGCACTGCCCTGTGTGCCCTGAGCAAGAGGAAGAAACATCCGCACCAATCCATGGTCCCTTCCCCTCTCCTTTTCTCCAATCGCCAACACCCGCTCCCCCCGTTGAAGGACACATCTCTTGCCTTTGAATGTGACAATGACATCTCGAGAGGTGAGGTGTGGGACTGACAGCAGACGCGTGTGCATCTCAGGCACAAGGTGGACCTTTTGAATCCTCAGCAGCTGACCTCCAGCACCAACCACTGGCACCTCACCCATGCCAACAGCTTTCACCACCCGTCCATCTCCCAATCTAACTCCCCGAACCTCTGGTGGTTGAAGCTTACTTTTGAAGTCCGATGCATAAGGAGTAAAGTTGTGGCTGGCCCCACTGTCAATCCACCACCCCTCTCGCGGCTGCTCCTCTCCCACTGCTGCAACTGCTTCTCCAACCACTGCCTCTGCCTTGTCATCCTGCTCCTCCTCATCCGCCACCTGTGCCTTGCCGTTGGACCTACGACCCCCCCGCTTTAAGAATGCCGGAATGCCTCCCTTAGGTCGATGAGGACATCGCTGCCATGCATGTCCCTCATCCCAACAGCCATGACACAACCCCCGAGGAGCCATGCCCTTGGACCCCCAAGGGAAATCAAGCACTCCCGCTTTGCCTTTCCCTTGACCCCATCTGCCCGAGTTGGTGTCACTGCTGCTACCGATGTCTCCATGCTTTCCTCCCTTGACCCAATTTCCCCTGCCGCTGCTGCCCACTTTCGTACCCGCTCCAAATGTGGCTACACCATCCGATCTTGGTGCGACACCAATCCGCATCTCCTCGCTCCTCAAGGAGGTAAGCAGCTGATCCTTAGTGAGCGATGATGACTGGTTGTTCAACACCACCTTCAGCATCTCAAAGTGAGGAGGTAGTCCTTTGAGTACCCTCATCATCCACTCCTCAACCTCCTCCTTTCCTCCTGCAGCCAAGTACTTGGACCTCAAGTCCTCGGCACGCGCCCAGTATGCAGCCACCCCCTCCCCCTCTTTCATCTTCAATGAAGAGAGCTCCTCAGAGAGTGCCATCCGGTTACACAATCCACGCTGAAGGTAGAACTCCTTCACTCGTATGTATGCCGCTGCTGTGCCTGCAGGAATTCGGGTGACCGCTCTTGCTCCGCCATCAACAGGTGCGCTGCCCAACTCGGTCTTGCCGCCGAACTCCCGTACCAAGCGAATTAGCTCATCTGGCACCAAGGCATTGCAGAATTGAGCGAATGCCTTCTGATTTTTTCTCTCCCACTTCAGCCGTGCGTCACCCGATGCAGGCCGCTCCTCCGAACCATCAAAGTACCCCCATAGATCGTGTGCCTCTGCCCATTGTTCGAATCGGAAGCTCCAAGTCCAATAGTCGCTCCCGTCGAACTTTGGCGCACTCTCCAGCTTCCCTTCACCTGAGTCATGATCCATTTGCGGCAGACACTCTGGAGATTGACGTTGAGGTGGTGGTGGAGGCAACGGCGGCGGTGGTGGAGACGATGTGGACAGATTTGCCCCCTCTTGGTTTTTGGAGCGTAACTCCGCGCTCGAACCTCCGAATGATGAGCCGTTTGTCTCAGATGAATCTTTGCTCCAAGACCGTTCCGATGATGTATCGCGCTCTTGGATCCCGCTTCCAAGCTGGCCGCTTAAACTCGTCGAAGTTGGCCGATTTCCCGTCGACGAAGACTCAACCGTTTCTCCCGATTTTTGGCTTGTTGAATGCGCCCTGGCCTCCTCTATCGGCGTCTGGCCTCCAATCCTTTTTCCGCGCTTTAAATCTTCCCCGATTCGCGATTTTCCAATTCGTCCGCCGGCAGTTTTTCGCGAATTGCGTCCGATCCCCTCGTCGATTGGTGACGACCCTGAGGCAACTGTTGTAGAGCGTGCTGAGACCTTTCCAACGGTATGCTGCACGTCTTGATCGGCCAAAGTTGACTGAGCGCCTCCGTGGATGGATGCCGCTCTTCTCGTCCTCCCAAACGGATCCACACGATTTCCAGCAGTTTTCTTCTCTCCTCTTCCCCTCCCACGTCCAGAGTCCGCCACGGTGCAATTTCGGCAGCCCTTCGGGAGGAATGGAAGCTAACTAGCTTCCACCAAGATCTTATGGTCCAATGTCTTGAGTAACTCCTATTCCAACAGATTGCTAGGCCTTCCTTGCTCTGATACCATATTAGAATGGACTAAGATACTAGCGGAAGCTTTAGTAGTCTTAGAACCTTCTCCTAAAGCCTAGGAATCCTAGGAGCCCACTTGGGCATGAATCATGCTAGAACCAAAGTGGTTTCCAAAAGTGAAATACCAACAAGAGAGAACCCTAACCTATAGGGTTTGGGAGGTGGTCCACTCTAAAGAGTGTACACCACAAGTTCTCCCAACCCAACCAATGTATTCTACACTACCATAGTGTAGATGTACCACTACATATGTTTATTGGAGCAACCCGAATTAACCTTAATTCCAACATGATCATCATATTTAAATCCAGCAGCTAAAATAGTAAAGAGTTTGGTACAAAAGTATGACCTAAGGGTTTGTACCCCATACCGTCATACCCCGTATAGAAGCGCCCCTGGGGTTGTAATAAAACACTGTTTTTTAAGGGCTGCGCTTATAATTAAGGAAATTTATAAGCGCCGGTGTTTATATAGCGGCAAAATGAAATTGAGTTTTTTTTTGACACCAAACTGTAGATCTCGTTCTTCCAAGTGTAATCGAGTCGAAAATATATGGGGTCGCGAATCTGACTCTCGAGCAACTTGGCAGGGATTGATTCCCTGCCAACACATGCTGACTAAGCGACAGCGCGTGCTGACTAGACGCGCAGCAAGTGTGATGTGAGCGGGAAAGTGGAACCGTACCTCGCTTCCCTGGTAAGGGGAATTTCGCTTCTGTATTTCGACTGATTTTCATATAATATTCGACATGCGCTTATAATAAATCTCAAATTTTTAGGGGGTGCGCTTATAATTGAGGACCGGATATAAGCGCCCTCATCCCTTTATAAGCGCCGGCGCTTATCTGAGGCCTGCGCTTCTATCCGGGGGCTTACGGTAGTGAGTACCCCACTAAAGCCTACCCCAAACTAAAACATATGACTATGTGCTTGACACACCCCCGTAGGCAAAGTGGGGGAGAACAGAGGGTCGCATGGCCAGTCAGGAACTGCAAAGCAAGCTCAGGGTGGATCACAACGTCACCACGCAGTCTGAGCACAAACAAAAGCCCACAAGGTCAGTTCACATGCAGAGATATATATGTAACAACAATAGCACAGTGATCTCTACCTAGCAGAGCAAGCAAGCAGGTATATATATATATATCAAAGTACAAACAAATTCTACAGCAAGTGAGGAAAAGTGGGGACAAGGCCTAACAAAGTGCAGAAACGCTGATGATCACCAGATGGAAGTGCCTCGGTGAATATATCATCAATGTTGGCCAGAGTGGCCACGTGAGCAAGACGAAGCTGACCACGCTGCTGCAACTCTCGAGCCAAGAAGTAACGCAGAGCGATATGCTTCGTTATGTGCTCCAGTCTGTGCTGCGGACACAAGGCAATGGCGGCCTTGTTGTCGCCGTACAGCACTGGAGGAGAACGAGGCCGCTCTCCCAAGTCGGTCAGCAGGTAAGTGAGCCAGTGTAACTCCTGTGCAGCCATGGCTGTGGCGTAGATCTCAGCCTCACAACTGGAGCTGAGAACAGAAGACGAGCGTGTAGAATGCCAAGAAACTGAACCAGAGCCAAGGCTGAAGGTGTAACCCTGTGACGACCGCTGCGTAATCTGGTCGTCAACCCAAGAAGCGTCTGAGTGCCCGATGAGGACAACTACGCTCCGCCCTCCAAGCACGAGCCCCATGCCCGATGTACCGCACAAGTAGCAAAGCACCCTCTTCGCAACATCCATGTGCACCTTTCGGTGCCGATCAAGAGCCACGTAGCGAGCCAGAAGGCCAAGAGGGTACGCAAGGTCAGGTCGAGTGCAGGTCATCAGGTACACGAGGCAGCCCACTAGCTCTGGATACGGGCGACTCGGCTCTACGCACTCGTCCGAAGGTGGAGCTGAGAGCGAGTGGCCTGTAGCCAGAGAAGTGTGCTGTGGCGAGGACCAGGTGAAGCCGAAGCGCTGAAGGACCTGCTGCACCATGTGTGACTGAGTCAGTGTGATGGTGTGGCGTGCTCTGTCTCGGGTGATCTGCAAGCCAAGGTAGCTGCGCAGTTCACCCAGGTCTGTGCACGTGTGTCTCTTCTGCAGCTCCGACTTCACCAGGGCGAGAGCCTCAGTGTCAGCAGTAGCAAAGACCAAGTCGTCGACGTACACGAGGATGTAGAATGGCTGCAGCAACGTGTCTGTGCGCAGAAACAATGACGGGTCAGCAGTCGACGAAGCAAACCCAAGAGCCGCAAGTGTAGTCCTCAGTGTGTCGTGCCACTCACGTGGTGCCTGGCGGAGACCGTAGACTGGCCGCCGGAGGCTCCACTGGGTACAAGGAGGGAACAACCCAGTGAAGCCAGGAGGGCGGCGCAGCCAGATCTCCTCGTGCAGGCTGCCCTGTAAGAAAGTTGTGCTGAAGTCAAGAGAGTGAAGCTCGTAGTCACGCTGAGCGGCAACGTGCAGCACCACCTGAAGAGTGGTCATCTTTGGGGTGGGGGAGAAGGTATGAAAGAAGTCTACTCCCTCTCGCCGACTGAAACCTCGAGCAACGTAATGAGCCTTGAAGACAGGCGGAGAAACCTGGCGGCCGGTTCACCCTGAAAATCCACATGCCACTGACAATGTTCGCCCAAGGAGGGGGAACCTCGTCAACGTAAGTGCCTGTGGACTTCAAGGATGCCATCTCTGCGTCCATGGTTGTCTGCCACTTAGAGGAGTACTCACCCGCAATCGCCTCAGCGTAAGAGCGTGGAGTCGGAATATCTGGAGCATCCGGGTCTCCGTAAGGGGCAAGCAGTATGGACACGAGATGAGGCGCTCAAGGTCCTCGTGCTTGTCCTCAAGGATGTCGGTGCAAAGAGCACAATCACCCCTGACGGACGGAGGACAGACAGACTCAGACTCAGCAACAAGACTAGCGGCGTAGTCTAGACGACAGGGAGCAACAAAGTCAACAAGCTCAGCGACTAAGGCACACGCAGTAGCAGACTTAAACGACGGGTCAGTGACAACTGTGGCTAGCAGACGCGTGACAGTAGGGTGAGCAGCACGGGTGCGGTCAGACTCAGGCTCAGGAACGGTAGGCAGAGAAGACGCAGGAGGGGACGGCAAGGGAACACGCTGCGGAGGAGAGAAAGGACGACGAACTACGAGGTGGGTGCCGGGGACAGCCGGCTGATGCAAACGAGGAACACGACGACCGGAACTACGAGAACGGACAGGCGAGACATGACGCAACGCAGGCTCAGTAAAACCCCCTGTCTCCTTAGTGTAAGGAGAAGGACCAGGCAGCGGTGAGCCAGGCTGTAACGGAAGACCAGTAGACGAAGGGAGACTAAGAACGTGGCGAAGCACAGAGTCAGGCGGTGGCTGAGACGACGGAGACGGTGGAGCAAAGAACAGGCGCGGCTGTACACTGCCAGCACCACCAGCACCTCCAGCACCCCCAACAGCTCTAGCACCTCCAGCAGCTCCAGAACCCTCAGCGCCAGCTCCTCCAGGAGTAGCACCCCCAGAACCATCACCTCCAGTCCCAGGGTCTCCAGCCTCAGTGTCTCCAGCAGGAGCACCCCCTGACCCAGGGTCTCCAGCAGCAGCACCCTCAGACTCAGCAGCACCTCCAGCCCCAGCAGCTCCAGTACCTCTAGTACGAGCACCTCCGAGACCAGCACCACTCCCAGCTCCAGTGACGACAGCAGAAATACCTCCAGCGGCAGAGCCTCGAGCTCCATAAGCGTGACCCTGACGGCGACCGTAC